GGAATGTGGGGCTCTGCTATGTGGGACTCTATAGGATTCTTCAGCAGTAGGTGTGAGGTTTGACTGCGCTGCTCCTGCAGCAGGTACTGCCACATCATCACACGTCCACTTCCCCGCCTGTCTTCATCAATAATAATAATAATAATAATGATCTTTATTAATATAGCAGCTTTCATACATTAGAAGTGCAGCTCAAAGTGCTTTGTGATAATTAATAATTTTGGTAATGTGTTCCAGATCTTTGGTGCATCAAAACGGACACTGCCTCTCCGCTGTTTTTGAGCTTTGTATGTGGAGTTTGGGAGAAGGCTAGTGCTGATCTTACGACGTGGAACATCATCTATCAGCACTCGGAAACATGTGAAGGTTTTGCTGCAGTGGATCAGTGAAGATGTTAAAGCTGAAATCAGAGGAAGCAGATCCGAGTTTATGGACACGCCTGTCATCTAGAACGTGGATTCTCAACCACTGGGCTGAGGACCACAAGGGAGCCATGAAGCACCCCTTGGTGGTTCTTCAAGGGGTTCTTTAGTAAAGAAAATGGTTGTATATAGAACCATGAACACTCAAAGAAACCTTTGCATGATTAAAGGGTTCTTTGCATGGTGAAATAGGCTGTGAAGCACCCCTTGGTGGTCCCCTGGGCTCATACTGAGGAGGAGCCAGTGGTCTGTAGTGGGCCAGTGATGGAACTTTGTCATATAAATGAGTGAAAAAATAACTGACTTAAGAATAAAAAAGAAATATAAAATGTTTCCAGATTTATGCTCGTAGGTATATTTTGGTTTTTCCATCTAAATTTACATGCCCGAATCGTAAGGCAAATTATTCAGTAACTGCATGAAATAAATGTAATTTTTATTTATTTATTTTTTTGTAAAAGCTCCCCTCAAATTAACAGAACGTGTTTTATGATCACACATATTGATATACGCTTACAATTTACTGCTGAAAGCCAAAAATCTTAGACGCTCTTTGTATTATTTTATTAAAATAGTTTTTACAGAGCAGATCACTGAAGAGACGCCGTCTGTTTATAGTTTATAGCCCAGATTTGTGAAAAATGGGTCGACTTTCAGTAGAAAAAAAAATGCTGAGTTCAGCTTCTTTTATTATAAGGGTTTAAAATGACATCACCCATCTATTTGCCTGGAAAGAAGACAGTTACAGCTCTCATACGACCCCCACCTTTAGAATGTAGCTTATGAAATATGAAAGTTATGGAGTAAAGAATATGATGAAGTGTGTTTTGGAACCACCGGTGGTCTCAATGAGTTGAAGAGGTTAATAACATTAATACAAGCTCCGCAATAACAGTGCACAAAGGCAGCTTCGTCAGTTTTTTTGCCCTAAAAATGTTTTTTTGTGGGCCTTCATGCTTTCTAGTGATGAACAGGTGGGCCTTGAGGTGGAAAAGGTTGAGAACCTCTGATCTAGAACACGACTCCACACAGCCACGTCCATCCAGCAGTGTTTGTGCAGTCAGCAGTGGAATGTGGGGCTCTGCTATGTGGGACTCTATAGGATTCTTCAGCAGTAGGTGTGAGGTTTACTGCGCTGCTCCTGCAGCAGGTACTGCCACATCATCACACGTCCACCTTCAGCTCATAAACAGACTGTAAACCAACAACTACAACATAAACAACAGCAGCAACAAATGTCCTTTTAAAGGGGGGAATGGGGGGGGGGTCTTTTGGTCCTCGGCCCACCACGAACCCTGCAGTTTGGCCCCCCCAGGGCTAAAAGTTTGTGCACCCCTGCTTTAGATGATTTAGACGATTTGTTAATTACACTGATCAGTTCAGCAGATCTCAGTAAAATCACGTTTGAATCGGTCAAATGTGTCGTTTTCATCACTCCAACAACTTTTGGAGAATCCTTACATCCCTTTTCTCTCTCCCTCCTCTCTTTTCTCTTTTCATCCTCTGTCTGTCCATTTTCTCTCCTCTCCTCTCTTTCTTCTGTTTTTTCTGTTTTTTCTTTTCTCTGTCTCTCTTTCTCTTCTCTCTCCTCTCTTCTCGATTTTCTCTTTTTTCTTCTCTCGTATCTCCTCTCTTTCTTCTTTCTCTTTCTTCTTCTCTCTCTTTCTCTCCTCTCTCTCCTCTCTTTCTTCTCTATTTTCTCTTTTTTCTTCTCTCTGTCTCCCTTCTCTCTCTTCTCTTTCTCTATTTTCTCTTTTTTCTTCTCTCTGTCTCTCTTCTCTCTTTCTCTTTTCTCTTCTCTCTTTCTCTATTTTCTCTTTTTTCTTCTCTCTGTCTCTCTTCTCTCTTTCTCTTCTCTCTTCTCTCTTTCTCTATTTTCTTTTTCTCTTCTCTCTGTCTCTCTTCTCTTTCTTCTCTCTCTCTCTCTTTCTCTTCTCTCTCCTCTCTTTCTCTATTTTCTTTTTTCTTCTCTCTGTCTCTCTTCTTTTTCTCTCTTCTGTCTCTCTTCTCTATTTTCTCTCCTTTTTCTTCTCTCTCTCTGTCTCCTTTTCTCTCTCCTCTCTCTCTCTCCTCTCCTCTCTCTCTCTCTCTCTGCGTGCTGTACAGGAAATCTCTTCTCACGGGAGGAATGTCAGTCTTCCTTACTTTTTCCACCCTTTTCTCTGAAGCTTTGCTCCGCTTTTTCTCTTCAGAGGCCACTGAGACCTACAGGGTGTCCAAAGGTTTATAGACACTCAGTGTTTCTTCTGAAATGAAGGTGTTAATAGTGAGTCTGTGCTGCAGTAACAGCCTCTACTCTTCTGGGAAGGCTTTACTCTAGATGTTGGAACATTGCTGTGAGGATTTGATTGAGCATTAATGAGGTCAGGTACTGATGTTGGATAGTCAGTTCTGGATCTCCAACTCATCCCAAAGGTATGGAGCTCCATCACTCCAGAGAAATCCAGTTCCACTGCTCTACAGCACAAAGTGTTACTGCAGTGCTGAGAATGACCCACCATCCACATAGTACCTGCTCTGTGAGGGTCCGTGGGGGTCCTGACGACCGAAGAACAGGGTAACAAAGTATGCAGAGAAGCAGATGGACTACAGTCTGTAACTTTAGAACTGCAGAGTGAAACTATACGGTCAGTGGAGCTGATAAGATGGACGGTGAGTGTAGAAACAAGCAGGTGGTTTTAATAAACACGCACATCTGAGTCCGGCTAAGGTTTGATATTAATACAACTTTTATTTAGTAATGTTTGAAGTGGGATTTCAGTGACTGTCTTTACAGACATCTACAGAAAATGTCCACATTTCTAAAAAATATGTAGAGTCCTTAAAGTGATATAGTGATAACAAGGCATGGCCACAAATTAATATATTGAGGTAACAAATTACTATATTGAGGAAATTAATAAATATATTGAAGCCACAAATTAATTTATTGAGGCAACAAGTTATTGTATTGAGGCCATAAATTAATTTACTGTGGCCAGAAATAAATATATAGATGCCACAAATTCATTTATTGAGACCACAAATTAATATAATGAGGCCACAAATTAATATATTAGACCACAATAATTTATTCAGGCCACAAATGAAAATACTGAGGCCACAAATTACTATTTTGAGGCAACAAACTAATATATAGAGGCCATTAATTAATTCACTGAGGCCAGAAATTAATATATTGAGGGCACAAATGACTATATTGAGGTAACAAGTTACTATATTGAGGTCACAAATTAATTTATTCAGGCCACAAATTAATATATTGAGACAACAAATTATTATATTGAGGCCACAGATTAATTTACTGTGGCCAGAAATAAATATATAGATGCCACAAATTAATTTATTGAGACCACAAATTAATATACTTATTCCACAAATTACTATTTTGAGGCAACAAACTAATATATAGAGGCCACAAATTAATTTACTGATGCCAGAAATAAATATATTGAAGGCACAAATTAATTTATTGAGATAACAAGTTACTATATTGAGGCAATGAATACATTTATTGTGGCCACAAATTACTATATTGAAGCAACAAGTTACTATATTCAGGCCACAAATTAAAATACTGATACTGAGACAACAAATTATTATATTGAGGCCACAAATTAATTTACTGTGGCCAGAAATAAATATATAGCTGCCACAAAAATTCATTTATTGAGTCCACAAATTAATATATTAGACTACAATAATTTATTCGGGCCACAAATGAAAATACTGAGGCCACAAATTAATTTACTGAGGACAGAAATAAATATATTGAAGCCACAAATTAATTTATTGAAACCACAAATTAATATATGGAGACCACAAATTAATATATTAGACCACAGTAATTTATTTGGGCCACAAATTAATTTACTGTGGCCAGAAATAAATATATAGATGCCACAAATTCATTTAATGACACCACAAATTAATATACTGAGGCCACAAATCAATAATTTGACCACATTTATTTATTTATTTAGTTAGTTAGTTATTTATTATTATACCAGAATTATTTATTTATTTGGGCCCCAAAATTAAATTCTTATTCCACAAAGTACTATTTTGAGGCAGCAAACTAATATATAAGGCCACTAATTAATTTATTGAGACCAAAAAATAATACATGGAGACCACAAATTAATATACTGAGGCCACAAATTAATATATTAGACCAGAATAATTTATTTATTTTTTTGGGCCCCAAATTAAAATACTTATTCCACAAATTACTATTTTGAGGCAACAAACTAATATATAGAGGCCACAAATTAATTCACTGAGGCCAGAAATAAATATATAGATGCCACAAATTAATTTACTGAGACCAAAAAGTAATATATGGAGACTACAAATTAATATACTGAGGCCACAGTTTACTATATCGAGTTATGGGAACTAACTCGTGATCTCAAAATATTAATTCGCGGCCACGCCTTATTAAAAGCTATCGCCACGTCACCTTAGTGGCTCTGTAATAGAGAAGATTAATAAAATGGTTTTTTTTATTTATACTTTATAACTCAAACCAAAACACGGAGGCCCCGCCCTGCTGCTCCTGTCACCACGTCACTTCCGGATGCGGTAGAGTAGGAGTTGGGGGGGAAAAAATAAAAACAGCTCAATTAGCTGAACATCAGATTAATAAATGACCGAGACGCGTTTATCGGCTCATCGTCTCCGAGATCAGACCTCAGACTCCACATCTGGACTTTCAGCCTCAGACATGTCCGCGGTTTTGTTTATTCTCTGAGGAGCCGCTGCTGTTCAGGCTGCTTTAGCTGTAGCGTTAGCTTTAGCTTTAGCACAGAGAGTCCGGCTTTGGCTGTGAGGAAGAAAACGACACGTAACGTTATGTGGATGAACTGTAAGTACAAACTTCTCATGTTTATGGTCTGTTTTTGGGACGTTAAAGATGACCGTATTCGTTTTTCCTGAGAGTAACGCAAGATTAAAATGCAGTTTGTGCAAATGACGAACAAATGACGAAGCTGAAGTTGGCTTGTTTTTTGGAATTATCCGTTCCACCTTAAATGGCGCAGCAGTTACACTAGGGCGCCTCGGGCGCCCTAGTGTAACTGCTGCGCCATTTAAGGTGGAACGGATAATTCCAAAAAAACAAGCCAACTTTAACCTCGTTTCTAGATGTTAGTGGCATCTACTGTCTGTACGCTCTTGAAAAAGATGGTTCTTCGAGGGTTCTTTAATAAAGAGGATGGTTCTATTTAGAACCGTGAGTTCTCTATGGAACCATTTCGTACTTAAACGTTTCTATACGTGGTGAAATTGTTCTTCAGGTTGATGGAGAATGTGCTGTATGTTTTTTTTTGTTTGTTTGTTTAAATAGCTCCAAGAAGGGTTCTTTAATAAATGGTTCGTGAGTTCTGTATGGAACCATTTTCGTACTTAAACGGTGAAATTGTGCTGTATGTTTTTGAAAATAGCTCCAAGAAGGGTTTCAAGCTTCATAGTGTAACAATAGAAGAACATTATCAATATAGAACCATTTACAACACACTCTTTATCAAACCAAAGAACCATTTTGCCCATGAAGTGGTTCTGTATAGCACTAAAAAGGGTTCTTCTGTTGGTACAAGCCTGACATCATCACGGTAGCAGAAATCTTTTTGGTGATATAGAACCATTTTCAGAAAGGCGCTATATAGAACCATATACAACATCAATCTGAAGAACCGTTTTACCATTGTGAACCGTTGCCTTTACTAAAGAACCCTTGAAGAGCCGTCTTTAGGTTTGTTTGTCAGCTGTGTCACCTTCAGCTCCTCCTCACTGATGTATTCTCAGCGTGTTTGTACAAGAATTGTTTGACTGTGATGTAGTGTGTGTGTTTATTTCAGTTTCGGTCTGAGTTCGTCTGGTGTTTTTCTGACTGGCTCCCGTCTTTGAACCTTCAGAAGGTTGCGTTTCATTTCCACTGTAATTATTCATGAAGCACAAGCGAAGATCAGCTCGGGCTGAGCGAAAATGACAGAAGTAACCTAATTTCCTCTTAAAGAAAAGCCCTGCGTCCTTTGTTTAAAGGAGAATTCTGACCATTTTTCACAACTTTTTGCATAATTAAATGGTTCAGATGGAAACAGAGTCATTCAGAGTGGTTTGGTGTGAAACGCTCTGTACCAGAGAAACTTACCGAGTCAGAACTGTTCACAGTGGTGGTGATAGGAACCAGACATCCACCTCTAAAAGCTCCCTCACAGAAAGGCAATAAATAAATTTAATGAAGCCACAAATATATTGAAGTAACAAGTTACTATATTGAGGTCATAAATGAACTTATTCAGGACACAAATTACAATACTGATACTGAGACCACAAATTAATATATTGAGACAACAAATTATTATATTATTGTGGCCACAAATTAAAATACAGAGGGCACAAATTACTATATTGAGGTAACAAGTTACTATATTGAAGCAATGAATAAATTTATTGTGGCCACAAATTACTATATTGGGGCAACAAGTTACTATATTAAGGTCACAAATTAATTTATTCAGGCTACGAATTAAAATACTGATCCTGAGGTCACAATAATATTGAGACAACAAATTATTATATTGAGGCCACAAATTAATTTACTGTGGCCAGAAATAAATATATAGATGCCACAAATTCATTTATTGAGACCACAAATTAATATACTGAGGCAACAAATTACTATTTTGAGGCAGCAAACTAATATATAGATGCTACAAATTAATTTACTGATGCCAGAAATAAATATATTGAAGGCACAAATTAATGTATTGAGATAACAAGTTACTATATTGAGGCAATGAATACATTTATTCAGGCCACAAATTAAAACTGATTAAAATACTCCCTCACAGAAAGTCACTACATGAAATGATTATGAATTCACTGCCTGATGTCTGAGACACTGTTTTGCAGTAAGGATTTGGCCTAACATATATATTTTTAAACCCATTCATGGTGGAGGGATACATGCAGAACGTTGTGAGGCAAAATAGTTCCCAAAGAAAACGTATTATTTCAGATTTTCCACTATTTTTATCATCATTCTTTATTTAAGCCCAGGTTTACATTGAGGGGACCCATAAATTAAGTTTGTTAAAATAAAGGTTCCAAAGTAAAGATAAAATAATAAAAGAAAACATTCGAAAATATTAAAGAAATACACAACAATAAAAATAATGTATACAATATTAATAAGAAATAATAAAACAATAATAGGACACAATAAAATATGAGTAAAAATATATGAAAATAATAATAGTATGTAAAATAGAAAAATTAAGGTTTCCCTTCATTAACATTCCATATAAGCTCAGAAGACTCGTGTAGGTTCACTGGTGGGTTTGGATAGTAAATAAAATGTCTATATTTGTGTTGTAGTCATGGCGACCCCTGGTTCCTATCACCACCACTGTAAAGACATCTGAACCGTTTCACACCAAACCACTCTGAATCACTCTGATTACATCTGAATTATGCAGAAATTTTGAAAAGTAGGTGGAATTGCCCTTTAAAACATGGCTTTCATTTCATCATGTAAATTTTATTTAAAGTGTCTTGTTTTGAAGCCTTGAAGCATTTAAAGTTGAAAACAGTGGATTCCAGTAGCCATCAGAATGACATGGCCTTTTCATTCATAGCCTTAGGCAAAGGTGGAGTCTGCTGGATTTGAATGTCACTCAGGACGGGCGATTCTCAGGCCTGTCACAGTACAAACATTACATAATGGCCTGTGAGTGTTCATGGTTCTATGTAGAACCATTTTCTTTACAAAAGAACCCTTGAGGAGCCATCTTTGTTCGTTGTTCTGTTAAAAAAATGAATAAGAAAAAAATGGGAAAGAAGTTTTGTTGAATCACATAAGAGAAGAACACTAAAGAACGTGGTTCTACAGCTTACCCTGACTTTAAATAGAACACTAATTTTGTGGTTTGCTCGTGTTTTCGTGTTTATTGTGATGTAAAAGTGACGTAATGAGCTCAACAGGCCGCACCAGCAGAGGTGGCAAAAGGTTGTGGGGGGAGTATCGCGGTTCCATCTCCCGGAACCGCGACACGAGACCGTGGATGTTTGTAATGCAATTTCGGTCTTGGGTCAGAATCGTTACACCCCCCGCAGACCACAGATCCAGAGTAGGTGACCTGTGGGTTGGAATTTACACAGAGAAAAGCAGTCAAACTAAAGATAAACAGACAAATATTAATAGTTTAACAGCTCATGTTATTTGTGTGGCTACAAAATGGGCCTAAATCGGACAGTGTTTGCCTGGTTTAGGGTCAAATAACCACAAGTACACTGTGCAGTTTTAGCCCTTTATAAATCTTGATTTGGTCGTCACAGAGTGAATGTCATGACTCTTGGAGTATTCAAACATTTAGGCCCAGTCCCATTTCTTCTTTTTACCCCTACCCCTCGTTTTCGAGAGTCACCCTAACCCCTTGGAACTCAGTTAAAGCGGGTAGTGGTTGAAATCCTCCCTCTGAAATGAGACCCTCAAATAAAAAGAGCATCACTTCATTAACAGCTACCAGCGCTGCTCTGTAGGCGACCCTGCCAGTCTGCAGTGACAGCAGAGGAGGGTAAAGTTCAGCTCCTCACTGCTGGGCTTTAGTTACATTTAGGGCATCATATGCCTTCAAAGAGGGGGGCAATTATTTATTATCACCCACCCCTAATTCTTCAGTGATATGAAGCTGAAGTCAGATATTCACCAGATTCTCATTCGAATTTTCCCTGTTCCACCTTAAATGGAGCAGCAGTTACATTCTGGTGCTTCAGGCGTTAGAACTGCTGGACTATTTAAGGTGGAACGGGAAAGTTAGCTAGATAGCTACCGAGACATCAGCATGCTACTAGCGATTTTTTTTGTATGCTTGTTATGAAGAAAATGACCATAATACACTGAAACGACATTAAACTAAGATAATACAGTGATTATCGTAATTTAACAGAGAAAATTCTCACATTTGTGGGTTTCTTTGGTCTCTCGTTCAGCCATCTTGCCAGTTTTTCTTTTTTTTTCATAACACTCTATTTGGAGGGTCATGTAGCCCTAACACTTCACCCTACCCCTCTATCTCAACCAAAACTGGGACACCCTACCCCTAGACGTAAGGGCTAAATGGTAGGGGCGAGGGGTGAAATGGGATTGGGCCTTAGACTCATTTCTGTGGCTACACTGGGGAGAAAATTGGGTACAAATCCAAAAAAAGTGCTATTAAACACAATAAATGCAATGATTTACTCCTGAACCCCTGACAGTAGGACAAAACGTAGATGGTTGTTCTGCTTGGCAGACGTCTTTTCATGCAGTTGTTCAGTGTTCTAGATATGCGACATTGACGATGTGTTCAGAAAAGTATATTTAATCACGAAACAATATCATCCTATTGACCATCATCCCTCTCTCCTCCCACAGTTGACGATGAATGGACTATCGGTCAGTGAGTTGTGTTGCCTGTTCTGTTGCCCCCCTTGCCCGAGCCGCATCGCTGCCAAGCTCGCCTTCCTGCCCCCTGAGGCCACCTATGCCCTCCTGCCGGACCTGGAGGCTGGCACGGTGCAGACCGGCTCCACCACTGGCTCCAGCCTTCGCTCGCGGGGCGGAGGGGGCGGTGGGGGTACGGGTGGAGGAGGCGGAGGTGGGGGGACCACCGGAGAGGGGCGCTGGAAGCTTCATCTCACGGAACGGGCGGAGTTCCAGTATTCCCAGAGGGAGCTGGATGCCACTGAAGTTTTCCTGACCCGGTCTGCTCGCGGGAACAGAGTGGGCTGCATGTACATCCGCTGCGCTCCGACAGCGAGGTGAGACAGAGCGGTTTAGCTCTCAGGACCTGCCGCATTACTGGCATACCTTTACTGGGCTTTGCGTCATTCAAACCTAAACAGGGATGTGAAAGTCCCACCACACAGGATGCGGGTCCATAGCACGGTCAGCAACTCCTTAATTCCTGAATCATGCGCAAAATTCACTGTTTTTGCACTGCAGTAGCAGCCATGCATGCACAAAAGTCATTTTCTTTCCTCCTCTGTACTAAATATGTGATGATTTTCACTTGCAAACCCTGAAAACGTGACTGTAAAGTCCAAAATGATGCAGGACCATTTGTCCTTCAGGTTAATTTATTGGCTTCTGTTCTTACATGAACGTTTCCGATAATTTTGTGGGAATCGTACTTGATCTTGTGCAGGTGGATCGCCACGTCATTCTTAGGCTTTGTTCACACAGCAGGTAAAAGTGGCCCGAATCTTTTTCTTCATATATGAGACAGATGTGTGTCTGTGTGTCAGTGTGAACAGATAAACACACATTAAATCTGACATTTTCAAATTCGAGTCCAGACGCCTTAATATGTGGTACTGAAATCCAATACGTATCCGATATGTGGCAGTGCGACTCAGTCTGAACAGCCAGAACGGAATTCATGCGGCTTTTACCTCAATCCAACTCCACATTCGTCTTAATTTCGCGCTGCTGAGACTCATAAACATTTAGGCTGATGTTTCTGTACCAAAAAATTAGAAGAAACTCCAAACCCCTCCGTGTTTGAAGAGATTTTGAAAGAAATGTCCGAACGCGGCCGCAGGAGAACGAGGCTGCAGCGTCAAAGAACAGTTAAAAGTCTGAAAGCAGGGTTTAAAGATTCCGAGGACGCGAACCAAAGAAGTGACCGCGCCCTTTTTACGACTCCAACACATTCTGGGTGATGAGCCCAGCTGTCAGTCAGTGAAGCTTCATGATGGCTCCTGTGATGCTGGTGAAGATGAAGCTGATCCTCCGGGAGCGACTGGCGTTCGTTGGCGGTCGTGATTGTTTACCTCTGGATGAGCCGTGAAGCAGCGTGACGCTCTGATCTTTAGAGGGTCAGTTTAGGAGCTGATCTGTTCAGACTGATGTCGCATACAGATCACATTTAAAAGATAATCTGAACAGACAAACAAAAAAATCTGATTTGGTGAGAAAATCAGATTTGGGCCACTTTTACCTGCTTTACCACACTAAATTTCCCCTAGAAATGCATGTTTGCATGTGGGAACTTTACTAGTAGCACAGCAGGAAAACATGAACTAGTTTTGACCACATTGCCGATCATAATCCAGACGCTCTCCAAAACATTCCTAAACATATCGACTCAGATGTCTTTACAGTGGTGGTGATAGGAACCAGGGGTCGCCATGACTACAACACAGATATAGACATTTTATTTACTATCCAGAACCACCAGTGAACCTACATGAGTCTTCTGAGTTTATATGGAATGTTGATGATGGAAAATAGTGGAAATTCTGAAATAACAAGTTTTCTTTGGTGACTATTTTGCCTTATAACGTCCTGCATGTACTTCTCTGCCAGGAATTAATTTTTAGTCCAAAACATTATTTCAAAACTATCATAGAACAGTGTCTCAGACATCAGGCAGTGAATTCATAACTATTTCATGTAATAACTTTCTGTGCAGGAGCTTTCTGAAGGTCATGACTCTGTAGACAGGATGACCAGCTGTGTGTCAGATATTTCTCAGTGGATGTCGCAGATTTTTCTACAATTTAATCATGAAAAACTGAAATACTGATCGTTGGTACAGAAACTCAGAGAAAAATGACTTATGAGAAACTTTGTTCTTCAGCTTCATAGACCAAACCTGAAAGTTCGAAACCTGGGTGTGATCTTAGACTCTGAGCTCTGTTTAATCTGCATGTAAACACAGTCACTAAAGCAGCTATTTATCATGTGAGAAATGTCGCTTCAGCCTTTTCTGTCTCAGAGCGACGCTGAGAAACTTGTTCATGCATTTGTTACAAGCAGAGTTGATCACTGTAATGATCTTCTGGACTTCCTGAGAAAACTATACATCCTTTATAACTCATACAAAATACAGCAGCATCCTAACAAAAACAACACAGAGAGATCAGATCAGTCCTGTTTAAAAGAGCTGCACTGACTGTCTGTATCGCTCAGGATAGATTTTAAAGCTCTGCTACTAGTTTTTAAAGCTCTAAATGACATTAAAGCACAGCTTTCATCACAGAGTGTCTGTCTGTTTATGTTCCAGCACGTAATCTAAGATCTGCAGATAGTGGCCTTCTACAAACCCCCACTGTAAGATACAGAAAACATGGAGAGACTCAGTTATTCTGCTTCTAAACTGTGGAGCTCAGCTCACCTTTTATTAGACAGTCGAGCTCAGAGCTCACTTTTAATAAACATCTAAAAACGAATCTCTTTAACTCAGCATTTAATTAAAACTCTACATCTCGTGGTTTTTATCTTCTAACTTGATGTTTCATTTTCTTCTGTTTCTAAATAAATACTAATGATTTCTTGTGTAACTGTTTTATCACCTGTCTGTAAAGCACTTTGAGCTGCCACCGTGCTATATAAATAAAAATTATTATTATTTTTATTATTATTATTATTATTATTTTAGAGGTGGACTGTTTTCTATCACCACCACTGTGAACAGTTCTGACTCGGTAAGTTTGTCTAGAACAGAAATAATTAAATTATGCAGAAATGTTGAAAAATCAGTGGAAATTCCAAGACGTAGTCATATAGAGTAGAAGGAGAAGGCCCAATCCCATTTCACCCCTCGCCCGTACCACTTAACCCTTAGCCCTTTGTTTTGCGCGTTCACGTCTAGAGTAAGGGTGTCCAAATTTTAGTTGAGAGAGAGGGGTGGGGCGAAGTGTTGGGGCTACATGACCCTCCAAATGGAGATTTTTCAGAGGCTCCAAACAAAGAGTTACGAAAAAAAAGAATAACCGGCAAGATGGAGCACAAGAGACCAAAGAAACCCACAAATATGAGAATTTTCTCCGTTAAAAAATTACGATAACTATTGTATTATCTTGGGCGGCACGGTGGCGCAGTGGGTAGCGCTGTCGCCTCACAGCAAGAATGGCCTGGGTTTGATTCCCGGCCGGGTGACCAGGGTCATTTCTGTGTGGAGTTTGCCTGTTCTCCCCGTGTCTGCGTGGGTTTCCTCCGGGTACTCCGGTTTCCTCCCACAGTCCAAAGACATGCAGTCAGGCTGATTGGACATGCTGAATTGCCCTTAGGTGTGAGTGAGTGTGTGAATGTGTATGTCTGTCTGTCTGTCTGCCCTGCGATGGACTGGTGACCTGTCCAGGGTGTATCCTGCCTTCCGCCCAATGACAGCTGGGATAGGCTCCAGCACCCCACCGCGACCCAGAAGGATAAGCGGTTTAGATGATGAATGAATGAATTGTATTATCTTAGTTTAATGTTGTTTCAGTGTATTTTGGTCGTTTTCTTCATAACAAGCATACAAAAAAAAATCGCTAATAGTATGCTAATTTCTCAGTAGCTAGCTAACTTTCCTGTTCCACCTTAAATAGTCCAGCAGTTCTGACGCCAGAAGCGCCAGAATGTAACTGCTGCACCATTTAAGGTGGAACGGGAAAATTCAAACAAGAAGCTGGTGAATATCTGACTTCAGCTTCATATCACTGAAGAATTAGGGGTGGGCAATAATAAATAATTGTCCCCCTCTTTGAAGATCATATGATGCCCTAAATGTAACTAAAGCCCAGCAGTGAGGAGCTGAACTTTACCCTCCTCTGCTGTCACTGCAGACTGGCAGGGTCGCCTACAGAGCAGCGCTGGTAGCTGTTAATGAAGTGAAGCTCTTTTTATTTGAGGGTCTCATTTCAGAGGAAGATTTCAGCCACTACCCTGTAACTCAGTTCCAAGAGGTTAGGGTGACACTCGAAAACAAGGGGTAGGGGTAAAAAGAAGAAATGGGACTGGGCCGAAGTCAGGGACATTCCTACTGGACAGTCCTCACTTTGAGGTTGAATTACTCGTCCACCTTACTGAGAAATCCTGCGCTGTGCTTCAGTTAATGCGTCTGTGAAGTTTGTTAGTCAGTGCAGATTCTCACAAATCCAGTTTTACAAGGTGGAATGTAGTTAATTAGATTATCAGTCAGGTATGAAGCAGCTGGGAAACATAAACTTCAAGAACTTCCTTAAACTAAAACACTGACTGATTTACAGTTTGTGCTGTATTTCCGGGTATATTTTACATCTTCATCATAGATTAACCTGTTCATAAAGTCAGTGCCTGTCTGTGTGTTACTCTGCATCATAGACATGAATGATTATTAGTGTTGTGATTATAGACCAAATCAGACTGTTTCTGCACACTTAAAAATGATGGTTCCGCAAGGGTTCTTTAGTCCATAATACGGCTCTGTATAGAACCATGTGCATTCAAAGAACCCTTTGCATGATTAAAGGATTATTTCAATGGTGAAATATTTTTTCAGATTGCTGGAGAATGTGTTGTATATGGTTCTATATAGAACCTTTTTGAAAAGGCTTTGATATAGCACCACCAGAAAGGGTTCTACTATTGTAAAAAGCCTGACATCATAACAAAGGTAGAACCCTTTTTGGTGCTATATAGAACCATTTTCAAAAAGGTTGTGTATAGAACCACATGCATTCAAAGAACCCTTTGCCTGATTAAAGGTTCTTTGCATCATGAAAGGGTTCTTCAGATTGCTGGAGAATGTGTTGTATATGGTTCTATATAGAACCTTTTTGAAAAGGCTTTGATATAGCACCACCAGAAAGGGTTCTACTATTGTAACAAGCCTGACATCATAACAAAGGTAGAACCCTTTTTGGTGCTATATAGAACCATTTTCAAAAAGGTTGTGTATAGAACCACGTGCATTCAAAGAACCTTTGCTTGATTAAAGGTTCTTTGCATCACGAAAGGGTTCTTCAGATTGATGGAGAATGTGTTTCATATGGTTCTATATAGACCCTTTTTGAGGTTTCGATATAGCACCACCAAAAAGGGTTCTTCTGTTGTAACAAGTCTGACATCGAAACAATAGTAGAACCCTTTTTGGTGCTATATAGAAACATAAACACATTCTCCATCAATCTAAAGAACTTTGTAACCATGCAAACAAGCCTTTAATCATTGAAAGGGATTCTTTGAATGTTGAACCCTCTTTTTCTTTGCTTAAGAACGCTTGAAGAACCTTTATTTTCAAGTGTGTAGGTGGATAACTCACTGACACTGACTGAGTCAGCTCATTTTACAGCACAGTTTACAGTAAACAAAAGCGGAGCAGACAAAACATTGGCAGTGCGGTAAAATCCTGTTGTGTTTGCGGCTGCAGTGTCAAATGTCCCAAGTATGAAGCGGATTATTTATACACTATATTGCCAAAAGTATTCACTCACCCATCCAAATCATTGAATTCAGGTGTTCCAATCACTTCCATGGCCACAGGTGTGTAAAACCAAGCACCTAGGCCTGCAGACTGCTTCTACAGACATTAGTGAAAGAATGGGTCGCTCTCAGGAGCTCAGTGAACTCCAGTGTGGTACCGTGATAGGACGCCACCTGTGCAACAAGTGCAGTCGTGAAATTTCCTCACTACTAAATATTCCACAGCCAACTGTCAGTGGTATCATAACAAAGTGGAAGCGATTGGGAACGACAGCAACTCAGCCACGAAGTGGTCGACCACGTAAAATGACAGAGCGGGGTCAGCGGACGCTGAGGCGCATAGTGCGCAGAGGTCGCCAACTTTCTGCAGAGTCAATCGCTACAGACCTCCAAACTTCATGTGGCCTTCAGATCAGCTCAAGAACAGCGTAGAGAGCTTCATGGAATGGGTTTCCATGGCCGAGCAGCTGCATCCAAGCCTTACATCACCAAGCGCAATGCAAAGCGTCGAATGCAGTGGTGTAAAGCGCCGCCACTGGACTCTAGAGCAGTGGAGACGTGTTCTCTGGAGTGACCAATCACGCTTCTCCATCTGACAATCCGATGGATGAGACTGGGTTTGGCGGTTGCCAGGAGAACGGTACTTGTCTGACTTCACTGTGCCAAGTGTACAGTTTGGTGGAGGGGGGATTATGGTGTGGGGCTGTTTTTCAGGAGTTGGGCTCGGCCCCTTAGTTCCAGTGAAAGGAGCTCTTAATGCTTCAACTTGACCGGCCTGCACAGAGTCCTGACGTCAACCCGATAGAACACCTTTGGGATGAATTAGAGCGGAGCCAGGCCTTCTCGTCCAACATCAGTGTCTGACCTCACAAATGCGCTTCTGGAAGAATGGTCAAAAATTCCCGTAAACACTCCTAAACCTTGTGGAAAGCCTTCCCAGAAGAGTTGAAGCTGTTATAGCTGCAAAGCGTGGGCTGACATCATATTAAACCCTATGGATTAAGAATGGGATGTCACCTAGCGTGTGTGTATATATATACACACACACACACACACACACACACACACACACACACACACACACACAGTGAAGCCCGAAATTATTCATACCCCTGGCAAATTTTGAATTAAAGTTATTTTTATTCAACCAGCATTTTTTTTGACCGGAAATGATACAGGCATCTCCCAGAAGATAATAAGACGAAGTACAAGAGGCATCATTGTGGAAAAAAAAAATATTCCTCAGCTTTTATTTACATTTGAACAAAAAGTGGCAGGTCCAAAATTATTCATACCCTTTGCAAACTGTCACAGTCTATGGGAAAATCCAAAGTTCTATACCATTTCAAATAGTCCAAGCTGTTCTAAAGCATCCTAATTACCCTGATTCTTTGGGAACAGCTGTTTTAATGAACTCAACAGGTGAAAAACAGCAGGTCTCTGCAGTTGGTTTGTGGACGGTCATGGCTAAGACAAAGACTAAGGACCTGCGGCTGTGCATTGTGGCTGCTCACAAGTCAGGAAAGGGCTATAAGGCCATATCTAAATGTTTTCAAGTTCCAGGGGCTACAGTGCAAAGTATTATTCAACAATGCAAGACGTTCCGCACTGTGGAAAATCTCAGAGGACGTGGTCGGAAGCCAAAAGTGACACCTGTGCTAGCCAGGAGGATAGTGAGAGGTGAAAAAGAATCCAAGGATCACCACCAAGGCCATCCTGGTGAATCTGGGCTCTGCTGGGGGCAACATCTCAAGGCAGACAGTCCAACGGACACTGCACACTGCTGGGATCCACGAACGCAGACCAAGGAGGACGCCACTTCTCCAGAAAAGGCACACAAAAGCCCGCTTGGCCTTTGCAAATGCTCATCTGGACAAAGAAGAAGACTTCTGGTCTTCTGTTTTATGGTCAGATGAAACAAAAATTGAATTGTTTGGCCACAATGATGTATCCTTCATTTGGCGTAAAAAAGGAGAAGTCTTCAACCCTAAAAACGCCATCCCCACTGTCAAACATGGTGGGAACCAAATGATTTGGGGGTGTTTTTCAGCCAGTGGACCAGGGAACCTAATCACAGTAAACAGCACCATGAAAAAAAGAGCAATACATCAAGATTCTCAACAACAACATCAGGCAGTCTGCAGAGAAACTTGGCCTTGGGCACCAGTGGACATTTCAGCACGACAACGACCCAAAACACACAGCAAAAGTGGTGAAGAAATGGTTAGCGGACAAAAACATTAACGTTTTGCACTGGCCCAGCCAGAGTCTGTGGAGGGAGCTAAAGATCAGGCTGATGGCAAGGAGACCCTCCAATCTGAAAGAGTTGGAGCTCATCGCTAAAGATGAATGGGCAAAAATACCAGTGGAGACATGCAAAAAGCTGGTCAGCAATTATAGATAGAACGAGGCTGCAGCGTCAAAGAACAGTTAAAAGTCTGAAAGCAAAGGTTAAAGATTCCGAGGACGCGAACCAAAGAAGTGACCGCGCCCTTTTTACGGCTCGAACACATTCTGGGCGATGAGCCTACCTGTCAATCACGTTTTGGATGAGTCTTTCAAATTTTTTGGTACATAAACATCATTCTAAATGTTTGAGTCTCAGCAGCGTGAAATTATGACAAATATAGAGTTGGATTGACGTAAAAGCCGCATGAATTCCGATCTGGCTGGTCAGACTGCGTCGCGTTGCCGCATATCGGATACGTATTGGATTTCAGTACCAGATATAAAAGTGTCCCAAATCAGAATTAAAAATGTCAGATTCTGTGTGTTTATCTGTTCACACTGACACACAGACACACATCTGTGTCACCTATGAAGAAAAAGATCAGATTCGGGCCACTTTTACCTGCTGTGTGAACAAAGCCCAAGATCACAGTAAAGATTACCCAACAGTGCATTGTTCAGCCCTACTGTAGAGCTCAGACACTCTGACACTGTTTCCTTTCATCTCTTTTGCATTCTTTCAATCTTTTTCTTCTTTCTCATTCCCTTCCTCCTTCTCTGTGCTCTCAGATCTTCCTGCTTTAACTCCTCCCTTCACTTTTCACCTGCTTGTTATCGTCTCCCGACCTTCAGCCGTAATGTTGTTGTTCATTCTCACAGTATGACGGTGACTCTAAACGTCTCACTGTGAGCCTCAGATTACAATCTGTGGGTCAGATTGTGAGGAACTGCCAAACTACCAAAGTGTTTCTAAATGTGCTTATTTCCTTATTATAATATGCAAATAGCTCAGCGATCTGTGAGCCTCGTGCGTCACGGCGGTGTGTTAGGGAAGCTGATTGGGAATCCCACAGGTTGACGGTGGCTGAACCGGAAAAGTGAGTCATGGTCTGATGAGTTTGATAACACAGCTTTAAATGATCCGCTGTAATGAATAGCAACCTGACTCAAAAACAGATACTGTTAAAATCAAACTGCAATCACATCTGACCTTTTTAACCATGTCAGTTCATCTCTCTGCTCATATTAACCTAAATTTATAGTGTAGTTTAAAATAGATCATTGCACCTTCCTACAAAATGTCCTCTGATTTTGTTGTTGGTTTTTGTTGTGGTGTTGTTTTATAGGCTTTCTATAATAAGTCCATGTCTATTTTGTGATCCATGCTGATGTTCTGTGTTCTACTGCTCATGTTCATGGGTTCTACTGATCACACCTGTCATATACTCAGAAAAGAGTATCGTGATGCATTCATGCCAGAAATGTTAACATATCACAGTTATCCACCCCAACTGTCATTTATTATTGTAGTGATCAAATTTAGTAAAGAAAGTGGTTCTATCTAGAACAGTGAACACTCAAAGAATCCTTTGTGTGATTAAAAGGTTCTTTGCATCATTAAATTGTTCTTCAGATTGATGGAGAATGTCCTGTAGATGGTTCTATACAGAACCTTTTTGAAAAGGGTTCTTCTATTGTGGTGGTGTTAAGCCTGTAACAATAGAAGAACCCTTTAGGGTGCTATATAGAACCCTTTTCAAAAAGGTTCTATATCGCACTCAAGTACTTCTATTGTGATGACGTCAAGCTTGTAACAATAGAAAAACCCTTTTTAAAAAGGTTCTGTATAGCACTCAGAAGGGTTCTTCTATTGTGACGATGTCAGGCTTTTAACAGTAAAAGAACCCTTTTCAGAAAGGTTCTATATGGCACTCAAAACGGTTCTTCTATTGTGACTATGTCAAGCTTGTAACAATAGAAGAACCCTTGTCAAAAAGGTTCTATATAGAACCATCTGCAGCACATTCTCCATCAATCTGGACAACCCTTCCATGATACAAAGAACCCTCATGCCCAGAGTTCTTTCTGTGTTCATGGTTCTGTATAGAACCATTTTCTTTACTCTTGAAGAACCATCTTTAAGAGTGTAGCCTTTAAAAAATAGTAATAAAAGCAGCCTGACGCTCCCGAAGCGGCGGATGGGCCGTTCTCCGTCTCCGCGCCGCTGATGCCTCGTCCTCTCTGTTCTCCGCAGGTTCACAGTGCTCTTCTCTCATGGGAACGCAGTGGATCTGGGCCAGATGAGCAGTTTCTACATCGGCCTTGGGACCCGAATCAACTGCAACATCTTCTCCTACGACTACTCGGGCTACGGCGTCAGCTCAGGCAAACCGTCGGAGAAGAACCTTTATGCAGACATCGACGCGGCGTGGCAGGCCCTACGCACGCGGTAAGATGGCCATAAGCCTACAGACCTCTTAATGCATTTTTCTAGACCCAGGATGGAGGTTCTGTATGGTTGGTTCTGTGAGTTCTGTATGTTTGGTAAAGTTTGCAAGCTGTTTTTGTGCCCAGGGACGGTCCAGAGAACCGATCTGGTTTAAACTCCGAGCATGAAGCTGAACACCCACAGCAGCTGCTGAGTCTCTGAGCTGCAACGGCTAAACTGAGGCTGCAGTTGTGCTCAGTTACGCATATTTTACTGAAAATGTTGTCATCAGTTTCAATGATCCTTTTACATCTCGTGAATTGAGTGTAATATTTGAGCAGTATTGCCAATATTATGTGTGAAACCAACAATATAAACAAAAATGGAAAATAATGCTAATAATGTATTGACCAAAGTAAATAATGTAGTAATTTAATATTAACATAAATGACTAATTTATTTAAAAAGAAGTAATTAAAAAAATACATTATTTAAAAAATAATAAAAATGTAGTAGCAACATAAAAAATAATACAAATAATGTAATAATTACTTCTTCTTTGAACAGTTACCTGCCATCATTTGCATCCCTGAATAACTGGGTAACAATGTGTTATTTACTGTGTTTCAGCTTATTTTAAAAGAACAGTTTAAAAACTGAATCGTACACAACTAAATATATACTATATATATATATAGATATATATGTATATGTAGTGTGTGTGTGTGTGTGTGTGTGTGTGTGTGTGTGTGTATAATATATGTATGTAATATGCAGAAACTGCTGTTTTAAAAGCTGCATATTTGGCTTTCTGACCAGAATATTAAAGAATAAACAGACAGTGGCTGTAGATAATTAGTTTTATTCAGTTTAACTTGTACACATCGTTCTCTTCTACACTAGATATTTTGTTTTGTTAAAGTCAGAGCAGCTGCTGCTGCGTTTCTATGGCAGCGGGTTTACTGATCGCTTCTGAACATGTTATCGTCATGTTAAAGCAGCGTACGCATTATTTAGTTGTTACTAGTTAGGACACAAATTACGTATTTGTGGTGCAACCAAATTTAGTAAAAGGATAGTTTGACACTAGTGTAACTAAGGACTCAGGCCCAATCCCATTTCACCCCTCGCCCCTACCACTTAGCCCTTACCCTCCTTTTTGCGAGTTCACGTCTAGGGGTAGGGTGTCCCAATTCTTGTTGAGATTGTTATGAGGATAGGAAAAAAAGAAAAACCAGCAAGGCGGAGTACAAGAGACCAAAGAAACACACAAAGATTTTCTCTGCTAAAAATTAATATAACCACTGTATTATCTTAGTTTAATGTCGTTTTAGTGTATTATGGTCATTTTCTTCATAACAAGCATAAAAAATTGCTAGTGGTATGTTGATGTTTTGGTAGCTAGCTAGCTAAATTTCCCGTTCCACCTTAAATTGTCCAGCAGTCACATTCTGGCGCCTCAGGCATCGTTTAAGGTGGAACAAGAAAAATTGGAATGAGAATCTGGTGAATATCTGACTTCAGCTTCATATCACTGAAGAATTAGCAGTGGGCGATAATAAATAATTGCCCCCCCCTTTGGTGGCGTATGATGTCCTAAATGTAACTAAAGCCCAGCAGTGAGGAGCTGAACTTTACCCTCCTCTGCTGTCACTGCAGACTGGCAGGGTCGCCTACAGAGCAGCGCTGGTAGCTGTTAATGAAGTGACGCTCTTTTTATTTGAGGGTCCCATTTCAGAGGGAAGATTGCAGCCACTACCCCTTGTATCTCAGTTCCAAGGGGTTAGGGTGACTCTCGAAAACAAGGGGTAGGGGTCAAAATAAGAAATGGGACTGGACCTAAGTAAACATTTTACACCCAAATTTAAGTATAAACTTGCGCTAACCTGGTGTAACCCAGCCCTGGTGTCTGAATATGACAACACCTGAGAAAAAGTTCCACCATGTTTAGACTGCTGAGTAAAACACTCCTTATTGCATCTGTTTTTCTTCCTTATCAAGTTCAGTTTTGTTTGTTCAGACACACGGCGGACTTGCTGAAATGACTGACATGAATTTTGAGTTGTTCATTTGGTTCAAAGGACCGAAACAGATCCTGTTAGGGTTGGGCGATTTTTAAAACATCCTGATGGACGATATTGTAACTCATATTCAGTCATCAGTAAAATCTTTAAATTGCTCAAGCCTGGATTCTACCCAGTCCTTGTATAATTAGAGTAGAACCCCCCCCGGCAATGTAATTACAGTTAAAATGCCTTTGCCTTAACCTGTGTAGACACTCCTTAGAAACCGTCTGACTGCTTTTTCCCTCCTGTGTTGAGCAGGTATGGCATCAGTCCGGAAAATATAATCCTCTACGGGCAGAGCATTGGCACGGTGCCCACAGTGGACTTGGCGTCGCGGTATGAGTGTGCCGCCGTCATCCTGCACTCTCCGCTCACCTCCGGCATGCGCGTGGCCTTCCCAGACACCAAGAAGACCTACTGCTTCGACGCTTTCCCCAAGTGAGTCTCGCATGCAAATTTCATTGACTGTTTTGCTTTCATCGGTTTCATCGATCAATTTACATCTTGTGAATTTGAGCGTAATGGTTTAGCAGTCTGAAGAACAGTGCTCGATTTGTGGTTAACTGAAACAAAGCTGTTGTCAGTATTATGTATAATACCATTAATAAGAGCAAAAAATAGAAAATAATGCTAATAATGAATAATTATTTCTTCTTCGAACAGTTACTATGAGTCTGATATCACTGCGCCTCCCTAATTTATGCAGAAATTAACTGCAGTATGTGTTATTTACTGTCTGTTTCTGATTGTTTTAAAAGAAGTTACATAAAACTAATTAGTCGGGATGCAACCAAATTTTGGCTACTGAAAATTTTCGAATGAATGAATTTCATCCATTTAATCCAGCCCGACCCTTTAGGATTATTTATCCTGAAACAGCCCTCGCTCACACTGTGTGCTGTGATGTGTGTCAGCTGTGTAGTTCCTCCTGTGGGGCTCATAGAGTGATTCAGTCATTTCAGCATCATAGATCATCATCTTAAGTGAGGTGCTTATTTTAAAAACAGCTCATTTTAAAGATTAATAGATTCTCTGATACTGCAGCGTTTTAGGATCGGAAAGGGAAAAGCAGCAAAATCTCTGTTACATATTTCAGAAACAAACACTCAAACAGACTCAGGGTCAGGATTAGGGCCAGGGTGAGCGTTAAGATAAGGTTTTGGGTTGAGGTTAAGGTGATGGTTAGGATTAGGGCAGGGTGAGGGTTAGGATTAGATTTTGGGTTGAAGTTAAGGTCAGGGTTAGGATTAGGTTTTGGGTTGAGGTTAAGGTCAGGGTCAGGATTAGGTTTTGGGTTGAGGTTAAGGTCAGGGTTAGGATTAGGGCCAGGGCCAGGGTGAGGGTTAGGATTAGGTTTTGGGTTGAAGTTAAGGTTAGGATTAGGGCCAGCGTGAGGATTAGGTTTAGGGTTTGGGTTGAGGTTAAGGTCAGGGTCAGGATTAGGGCCAGGGAGAGGGTTAGGATTAGGTTTTGGGTTGGAGCAGCACTGCTGTGTCTGATCCACTCAGACCAGCGCAGCACACATTAAAACACCACCACCATGTCAGTGTTACTGCAGTGCTGAGAATGATCCACCACCCAAATAGTACCTGCTCTGTGAGGGTCCATGGGGGTCCTGACCACTGAAGAACGGGGTGACAAAGTATCAGAGAAACAGATGGACTACAGTCTGTAACTGTAGAACTACAAAGTGCACCTATATAGTAAGTAGAAACAGGGAGGTGGTCAGAATGTTATGCCTGATCGATATATATAAACCATATTACATGTGGGATTTTCTCTCCTCAGAATAAACTTGATTAGACTTTTGTAGGTCAAAATATTGAAAATTGATGAAAAAATGATCATTTTTGTTAAGAACATCCAGAAAAGCTGTGTCCCCCAAGCTTTTGACCTGCAATATGCAGGGGCGTTGATGGACAGTGATGATTCATTTATCTGTTTATTTTTTTTAGCTTATTCATGCTAAAGTCTTTTATTTTGTCTGCCTCGCGTGAAGACTCTGTGTTCTTTTGCCAGAAACAAAAGCCTCTGAAATGAAACGGGCATTGTTGATTCAATCAAGCAGCGGCGTCCTTCTGTATGACTCCTGCTGACAGATAATTGCAGGCTAGATTGTTGCTGCTTCGGTTCAGCGCTGTTGCTTTTCGGAAGGCGATGATTACTGTTGTCACGGCCGAGACCAACGGTAGTCGTCTGTCACAATAAAGCGAACGGCGGAGCTGCTTTATCTTGCCGCCGCTCAGCGTGATATTATAAAGGGGAATTTATCTGTAGGTGATGTTTGCCTATGTAAACGCAGGAACGAGTGAAACGTCTGTCGCTGTTCTTTGGAGAGCTAATGTACTGAAAGCATATTCTGTTGCTATAGTTACAGTACAGCATCTGTTTTGAATTGACGAAGTGTAGCTGTAGACGCATTAAGATAAAAGGAGCTTTTGATCTGTAGTTGCTCTTGGATTTTCCTTGATCTTTTTCTTTCCAAGGACAGCTTGGACTGCTCTGTGATAGTGTTAGTGTGAGGCTGTGGTGTGGGGTATACTCAGTGTACAGCTGCAACAAGTAGTCGATAAAGTACATTTCTATGGAAAAACTGTCGTATTTTTAAAAAGCTTCGATGATATTACAAAAATTTAACATCCTGTAGTGTATTACGGTCTGTCAGAATGACTGTGTGGATCATATGAACATTATACAGGCTTTTTAAGTGAAACAGTAGAAGCCATATCACCCCCTACCCTTCCTGTAGTGTATTACAGTCTGTCAGAGTGACTGTGTGGATCATATGAACATTATAGAGCTTTTTAAATGAAACAGTAGAAGCCGTATCGCCCCCTACACTTCCTGTAGTGTATTACAGTCTGTCAGAGTGACTGTGTGGATCATATGAACATTGTAGAGCTTTTTAAATGAAACAGTAGAAGCCGTATCGCCCCCTACACTTCCTGTACAGTGATGCTGTAGCGCTGGGCACGGCGAGGGTGATGCTGTAGCGCTGGGCATGGCGAGGGTGATGCTGTAGCGTTGGGTACGGCGAGGGTGGTGCTGTAGCGCTGGGCATGGCGAGGGTGATGCTGTAGCGTTGGGTACGGCGAGGGTGGTGCTGTAGCGCTGGGCATGGCGAGTGTGGTGCTGTAGCGTTGGGCACGGCGAGGGTGGTGCTGTAGCGCTGGGCACGGCGAGTGTGGTGCTGTAGTGCTGGGCACGGCGAGGGTGGTGCTGTAGCGTTGGGCACGGCGAGTGTGATGCTGTAGCGTTGGGCACGGCGAGTGTGGTGCTGTAGTGCTGGGCACGGCGAGGGTGGTGCTGTAGTGCTGGGCACGGCGAGGGTGGTGCTGTAGTGCTGGGCATGGCGAGTGTGATGCTGTAGCGTTGGGCACGGCGAGGGTGGTGCTGTAGCGTTGGGCACGGCGAGGGTGGTGCTGTAGCGTTGGGCACGGCGAGTGTGGTGCTGTAGTGCTGGTCACGGCCAGTGTGGTGAGTGTGGTGCTGTCGTGTGTTGTATAAACAGTGCCATGCTGTGCTGGAGTGGGAGTTAAACACATGGTGGCGATGCAGCTGCTGTCAAAGCCCCTTCTGTTCACGGCCGCCTTTCGCACTGAGAGCTTGTTAGATCTCTAACACACACACTGGATTCTGTAATAGATACTTCAGCTGTTCAGATCGCTCACACACACACACACACACATGCGCACACAGTAGATTCTTTCTCATTTGGGTTTTACAGCTGTTTAAATCGGATTTTATATTTAATAAAACTTTAAAAATATAATTGTTCTTGGCTTCCTCAAAGCACTCAAAGCTATTTCAGTGCCTCTGATATATAAACTCAAAATACCTCATTTTTTTAAATATATAAAACATGTAAATATTTAATTTAAATCAAAGATGGCAAAAAACAGCTTCAGAAGTTGTAAAAACTGAGACACATTCCAGTTTATTTCTGTTTATTTAACTACTTCTCTCTTTCCAACCCCTCCAGCATCGAGAAGGTGTCCAAGATCACGTCTCCGGTGCTGATCATCCATGGGACGGAGGACGAGGTGATAGATTTTTCTCACGGTTTGGCCCTCTACGAGCGCTGCCCAAAGGCCGTGGAGCCGCTGTGGGTGGAGGGAGCCGGACACAACGACATCGAACTGTACAGCCAGTACCTGGAGCGCCTGCGCAGGTTTATCGGGCAGGAACTGGCAACCCAGCACACCTGAGACTTCACCTGTGCACTCATCTCATCAACATCACTCTCTGTTTCATTTTTTCCACTATCTAGATCTTGTTCTCTCCTTATTTTCTCTTTTGCCTACCATTTTCTTCCATTCTTTTCTCTCTGTCTCGTCCGCTTCTATTTTTTTTTTCTGCTTATTTTTTTTTCTCTCGGTCATCATTCTCACACCTTTTCACTTTCGTCATGTAGTTCTCTTTTATTCTCTTTCTCTCTTGACGTCCTTCCGTCCCTCCAGACCGCCCAGCTCCAGCACGAGTGAGACGGCTGTCTGTAGAACAGGTGGATCCCTGTTTTTGAATGGACGTTGTTGCTTATTTGGAGCGAGTTGATGTGGATTCTCTGCAACGGAGGTTTTCCGGTTGGCCTCTGGGTTTAATCTTCACCGTCTCCGTGTCCGGAAGTGCGTTTGTACGAGGCAAAGCTCTCCGTTCTCTGGTTCTCTGAGGGCAGTACAAGGATACAAGAAGCCAGGCCCGACACTCTACCTCCTGCCTGCTTACATAGCTAAAAGTAAACAAAATCCATCGGGAAACCAGTTAGCGTGATGCTGACTGGCACCCTACTAGCTTACGTGCATAATTATGAGCAACCTAGTTATGAGAAACAACTCATGCCTTCTTGACATCTGATCTGAGAAACATCTTCCAAAACTCATTCAGAACAGGGCTTCATGATGTGGACGAAATAGCATTGCAGTTTTATTGCTACATATTGTGATACGAATATTGATCTGCATTATACACTGATACATCAAAACACCCACAGAAGATGATTTGGAAGTTTGATTGATCAGCACACAGTAAAAAAAAAACACCATGATTGGTTAGATTGGCATATTTGCCTTCTTTAGTATCGGTATTGCAAAGGCCAGTATGATATAATGATTCAAACGATATATCGTGCAGCCCTATTTCCGATTATTGAATTAAAAAAGTGACTTCCGTTATTTTATTTATTTATTTTTTTTAATTCTGCATAACTAAATGTAAGATGTAAACAGAGTCGTTCAGAGTGGTTTGGTGTGAAACGCTCAGTTCTGGATAAACCCAGTCAGAATTGTTCACAGTGGTGGTGATAGGTACCAGACGTCCACCTCTAAAAGCTCCCTCATAGAAAGTTATTGTTTTGCAATAGCTTTGAGAAAGTTTTGGCCACTCTATTCATGGCGGAGGGGTACATGAGGCTAAATAGTCCCAAAGAAAACGGAATATTTCAAATTTTTCACTATTTTCCATCATCAACATTCCATGTAAACCTCAGAAGACTCGTGTAGGTTCACTGGTGGTTTTGGATAGTAAATAAAATATCTACATTTGTGTTGTAGTCATGGTGACCCCTGGTTCCTATCACCACCACTGTAAAGACATCTGAGTCAAATATTTCAGAACAGACTACTCTGAGTTTACTTTAGTTATGCAGAAATTTTGAAAAATCCGTGGAATTCCCGTTTATTATTTGTTTTTAAAACCCAAAAAGGCTTTTGTGGGTTTTCAGCCACCATAAACCAGCTTCATTTCACCACCCACACAGCTGACTGATCCTCCAGGTCCTTAGTAAGTTGACTGATGATCTGGTGGTGGGCTTGGCATGAATGTCTAGAATTTCTCACCCCGAGGGCAGTTTCCCCAGCAGATCCTGTTCTGAAAACAAGCCACCTGCAGGTGATATCATCTCTTTTCCACGGAACTGGATAGTTTCCCTTTCCAAACACGCTCTCGGGTTAGACGCATTGTCTCTCTTTACGCATATGTGTGACAAATCATCGCTGTCATAACAAAACCATGTAACTCTGAGATGGTAAAATTAACTCATTCATGTTCAAAAGCTACATTAAGTACCACAGAACTTGTTCTTACTGGTTTAAAATGATGAAATTTAGCAAAGATGTACTTCGGAGGAAGGTTTAACAGTACCAGGTTGAATTTTTTTGATTACATGTAATTTTGGAACTTTTATTTTGTCATTTTGTTCACAATCGAATTAGGCTTGTCTGTTTTTAATTAAAATCAGTAGTTTTATTTGGCCAAAAGACTGAATTTAATGGCAAATGAGATGACGACCTCACTCTGTAGCCATACAGTTTGACTGATGTGAAAAATTTCTTTAGATTCAGAAGCTCAGAGAACCAGATGGACTTAAATGAGTTTATGTATATGAATGTAAGGAGATTGTATCACATGTGGTCCAATCATCATGAAATGTTCACACAAACTAAAGGGCAGTTGGCATTTTACATTTTTAAAATAGTTTTTTGTTCTGATATCAGTGATAAGCTAGTCCCCACATGTGTAGAAATACAATTATGCCAGTATGGTCACCCCAGGGAGGGTGCTGGTCACCGTCCACCAGTGTCTCTTTGTGGTCAAGCTGAACTGACACTGAGTGAGGAGACACTTGATATTTGAGCCCAAAGCAGAGCTGAAGCTGGTGAGCTGGATTTCTTTCTATTGTCTCCAGACAACCCCCAGTGCCTTTCTCCCATCATCAGAGGCCCCAGGCTAGCACTGAATCATCCGCTTCCCGTGAAGCCACCTGAGATCACCTTATATGGAGCTCTAAGAACACCTGTTGGCCCTTTTTTAACCAGTGTAAGTCCACACCCAGAGATATTTCACGCCATCAAAGCAAAGATGTTTCTTCTGTCCGACGTTAGGTTAAAGCAATACTCCAGCATTTTTCCTAATCTAAAATGGTCGGTTACCACGGCAACTGCCCATTTACTTCCATTGTAAATGCGTCTCGAGTCGACACGTTTTCTGTATTTTTCTGGGTTTAATGAAACGTGTCAGAATGACGTCTGTTGTAACTGATTTTATGCTACAAATGCAGGAGATTAGATTGAACAAAGTTTGGCCTGTCAAAGCATGGAAACCTGTCCAGATCGCTGAATGAGACTCAAATCTTCTTTGTTACCCCAAAGAAATCTCCTCCAGGCAGCAGAATTATTCCTACACCTCTATATATGTGGAATGGGTGTTCCTCAGTACTCAGCCTTTTTCATCAGAAGTGATGGGGGTGGAAAAACCTCGGGATAGACAGATTCAGTAGAGATAAGTCATTTAAATATACCTTCTTTATCTCATGGACAAACAAAAACGTTTCTGGTTTGTCCTGTTTTAACACATTTGTGTCCAACAGCTAAATTCATTATGATGATAAAACTTGATGGTATAATACTTTTCTACCCAAATTAATTTTGGGTTTTCTGTTGTTTTATTAGAAACTAGTTGTCCCATTTGACGATTAGACTGAACTTAATCATAAATTAAGTTGTAACCTCACTTTTTCGCCATGTGGATTGATTGATTTTAGGGGTCATATTTGTGATCAGAGAACATCTGGACCAAATTTGAAATTTCAGATGTGGATGCTGTGACTCAAATCAAGTTATCAGTCCCACACACCAACTCGTTTGTCTTGTAGGCATTATTATCATTGTGATTAATTTTTCATCGCTTATAGATTTTTTGCTGTTAAGCAAATTTTACATGAATTCATTTATGGTGTAGGTGTTTTTGAAGAGGATTTAAGTAATTAAATGTGATTTCTGAAATTGTATGTCTATTTGATGCTTGGCAGATTTTGTCATATCAGAACTGGTTTTTATTATTATTATTATTATTATTTGTTGGTGAGAACGCCAGCTGCTCTTTACATTCCCTGAACATTTCATAATGAACCTACCAACAGAAAGAGTCCAACATTACATGGAATTAAATCTCATTTTGTTCATTTATATTAAACTAAAAACAGCATCCCAGCCTGAAACTAGAGTTTAATGTTATTTGTCGTGTTGTTGCAGGATTCTGTCCCTCAGCCTCATCGGTTTAACAGAATTCATAACTTTATATCATTTTCATGTTTCATTACAACCTTAGTGTGCTGTCAGCAGAGAACTTGTAGAGAGGAGAATTCAGTTGCTAGAGGGCGCTCCCGAGTGAGTCCAAAATGAATGGGTTGATATGGAGCATTTGAGCAAAATCATAGTTTATAAATGCTGAAACATTTTTAATGTAAAAGAATACATTCATTTCCTGAACACAGAACAGCATAAAACATTTTAACACCGCTGTTATATTTTTAAGAGCTTTTAAAATTGAGTTTAGGAGTTGAGAAAGAGCTGCCTTCTGCTGCCCAAAACCCATTTGCTGTAGAAAAAAGGAAACACACAGGTGAGATTTCTTTGTTTTTTTTAGTAAAATTCATCCTCCTACTTTCTAAAATTAAAGGAAAGTTCTGGTTCAGTGATTAGAAACTATTTTAACTTTTCGTTTTTAGCCATTGAGCTCCATTCACTCCCTATTCACTTCATTGAGGACTCCCTCGCGGGCGCCCTCTGCTGTTCAGCGGTCCTGTTTTTGATATAACGGGGGAAATAGCAAGTGGCCAGACTCCTCATAAACCAGCTCTGGTGTCAGTCCTGACTGACTAGCCTAGCTAGCATAGCCACTGAGCTATACGCTAATAAACACAACCAAGCTAGCGTTAGCATAGCTCTTCCCTCAGTTGCTCAACAATAGAGGTGGGTGATACGGCAAAAATATAATATTGTGATACTTCGGGAAATTTTCGTGATATATGAGCTGGAGATAAAGAACCAGTAATGCTACATTATACAAAAAAATACCATTAAGAACTCTGAACACAGTGATTTTTTTATTCAGTATTTGTCACTAAATCCAGATAAACTGGCCTAATTTTGCTCTCTTTATAATGAAACATTCAATTCTAAAAAGCAGTTCTATCTTTATTCAGCACAAAATAAGACACCAGAGGTGAGTTTTTAACCCCTGCAGTCAGACTAAAGGCGCCAAACTGAGGTAAGCTATCTAGATAGCTAGCTTCCTTGCTCAGCTTTTAGCTTCCTGTTAGCTACGTTAGCTGTCTGCACTCACCAGCTAACATAAAAACACCCAAAAAAAGACTCAAAAAATCCACCACAGAGCAGTTATACGTTTTCAGAAGTTCCTTCCAACTTAAAGATCCATCAGAAGAGAGTTTTTCTGGTATTTAAAGCGGAAAATCTCGTTCTAGAGAACACGGTGGAACCACCGTTAGCATGTATATGATGTAGTGTTCTCTATCAGTCTGAAGAACCATTTCACCATGCAGAGAGCCACTTAAGCACAAAATAGTTCTAAGTAGAACTCCTAGAGCCATTTTCTTTTACTAAAGAACCCTTCAAGAGCCATCTTTTTAAGAATGTAAGATATTTGGCTTCCTAGCAGTAGTGCTAGCTATGTTAGCTGTCTGCATTCACCAGCTAACATAAACACCCAGCATTAAAAAATCCACCACAAAGCAGTTATACGTTTTCAGAGGTTCTTCCCAACCTAAAGATCCATCAGAAGAGAGTTTTTCTGGTATTTAAAGCGGGAAATCTCGCTCTAGAGAACACGGTGGAACCACCATTAGCATATATATGATGTAGCGTTCTCTATCAGTCTGAAGAACCATTTCACCATGCAAAGAGCCAATTAAACACAAAATAGTTTTATATAGAACTCATGGTTCTAAATAGAGCTATTCCCTTTGCTAAAGAACCCTTGAAGAACCATCTTTTTGAGAATGTAAGATATTTGGCTTCCTAGCAGTAGTGCTAGCTATGTTAGCTGTCTGCATTCACCAGCTAACATAAACACCCAGCATTAAAAATCCACCACAAAGCAGTTATACATTTTCAGAGGTTCTTTCCAACTTAAAGATCCATCAGAAGACAGTTTTTCTGGTATTTAAAGTGGAAAATCTCGCTCTAGAGAACACGGTGGAACCACCGCTAGCATGTATATAATGTAGCGTATGTAGGTTTTGTTACCACAGCGATGAGACTGCAGAGAAATGAATGTAGGAGATTTTAAATTGTTTTAGATAGAATCCAGTAGAGCAGCATAAGCAGCCTGGTTCAGTGGGTCAGAGTGGAAAAGTGGGTCACTTTGTTTTAGACCCAGTTCAGGGACTAAGGGAGGTGTTAATGGAACTCATTCAAGATCAGCCTTATGTTAGACGGCCAAATCCTTTGTTAATGCGCGGCCCAAGGAGTGCATTCAGTTCGAAAAAGGGCTTTTGTTCAGATCCATTCTGACCTGGTTTCATGTCTAAAGGGAAATTCGGTGATCTTGGTCGCCTCTTTTTTGTTTTCTGACACAGTTTGATGCGCGCTGGAGCGTCTAATCGTGAGCCGACAAGAACCAAGAACTTTCCAGATGGCTTTTAGTGCTAACACACTGCTAAAGCCTGACTGAGCTCCACAGATTTTGTCCTTGTTGGCTGTGTTTACTGCCTTCCTTGAGTTAAAGTTCACTATTTTAACACTTTTATCCAAGAATTGTGATTTTTCAGTCTGATGTGTCTAATTATGTGATTCATTGCTGTTAAAGAAGAATAGTTTGACCAAAAATGCTAACATCACAATGTGCAGTGCTAACTTTCATTCGTTATTAGCAATGTTAGCATTTTTGTCAAACTGATTTGTAAAAAAAAAAAAAATAGGGATTTTTTTTAAAAGCCCAACAAATGTGACTTCATTTCTCCGTTATAGAAAAATATTCCAACCAAAAATGCCGGTTGGCTATTGAGTGGCTGCTCATAGACCAGCAGTTAGCATTGTTGCTAAATCTAAATGATCGGCTGCCAACTTGTGTTCATAATTAGCAGCGTTAGCATTAGCAAACTGGCCTGATTAATAAAGGAATGGTTCAGTCAGTAATGCTCAGTGTTACTAATAATGAAAGCTCATGCCCATCAGTTAGCATTTAGCTTGATGTCAGCCACTTAGCTTATGCTCAATGTTAAGTAATTTGCTGCTAATTTTTGTTCATTGTCAGCATTTTTGAGCAAACTCTCCTTTTATTAAAGCATCGGTTCAGTCAGTAATGCTAATGTTGCTAACAGTAGAAAATGACATGTTGATTGGTGGTTCCTAGTTTTCATTTATTGTTAGCAACATTAGCATGTATCACATCTGGGTTGTTCTAATCTCCAGTCAGGCATGGTTCCTGCTAATTTTTATTATTAGCAACATTAGCATTTGTAACAAATTCTCCCTTATATTAGTGGTTCAATCAGTAACGCTAATGTTGCTAACAGTAGAAAATGACATGCTGATTGGTGGCTCCTAGTTTCCATTCACTGTTAGCAACATTAGCATGTATCACATCAGGGTTGTACTAATCTCCAGTCAGGCATGGTTCCTTCTAATTTTAATTAATAGCAACATTATTAGCGTTTTTAACAAACTCTCCCTTAAATTAGTGGTTCAGTCAGTAACGCTAATGATGCTAACAGTAAAATTTGACATGTTGATTGGTGGCTCCTGGCTTCTGTTCACTGTTAGCAACATTAGCATGTATGGTTGTTCACGTCAGGTTTCTCTAGTCAGTTGGAATGATTCAAGCTAATTTTATTTCATCATTATTAGCAACGTTAGCATTTTTTTTAACAAACTCTCCCCTAAATTAGTGGTTCAATGAGTGGTTCAATCAGTAATGCTTATGTTGCTAACAGTAAAACATGACTTGCTGATTGGTGGCTCCTGGCTTCCATTCACTGTTAGCAACATTAGCATGTATGGCTGAGCTGTTTGTTGGTTGTTCATGTCAGGGTTGTTCTAATCTCCAGTCAGTTGGAATGATTCATGCTAATTTTCATTAATAGCAACATTATTAGCGTTTTTAACAAACTCTCCCTTAAATTAGTGGTTTAGTCAGTAACGCTAATGTTGCTAACAGTAAAATTTAACATGTTGATTGGTGGTTACTAGATCCATTCATTGTTGAGAACTTTAGCATGTATCACATCAGGGTTGTTCTAATTTCCATTCAGGCATGATTCCTGCTAATTTTCATTAATAGCAACTTTAGCATTTTAAAACAAACTCTCCCTTAAATTAGTGGTTCAGTCAGTAACGCTAATGATGCTAACAGTAAAAATTGACATGCTGATTGGTGGTTACTAGTTTCCATTCATTGTTAGCAACATTAGCATGCATCACATCAGGGTTGGTCTAATCTCCAGCCAGGCATGATTCCTGCTAATTTTCATTATTAGCAACATTAGCGTTTTAAAAAAACTCTCACGTTCAGTCAGTAACGCTAATGTTGCTAACAGTAAAAAATGACATGTTTGGTGGTTTACCAGTTTCTGTTCACCATTAGCAACATTAGCATGTATGGTTGAGCTGTTTGTTTTCCACATCAGGCCAGTTTCGATCTCTGGTCAGTCCAAAGACGCCAGGTGTTGACCGTCATGTCATGGCTAACGCTGCCATTTGTCACTGCAGACTTTTGGCGTACAGCACAGCCAGTCACGAGACAAAGCTCAGCATTGTCGGAGCTGTTGAGGGGTTAATGTGGGGGGCGAGAGTGTAAAGCGGGCTTTGGGACTTTACTGCGAGACTGTGGGTGTTTGTGGAGGAGATGGATGAACTGAAGCTGCTCAGAAGCTCCAGAGCAACATTGGAGTCGTTCAGAGAAACTTAAGTTATACAAATGTCTTTTCTAAACACTCAGATGGATGTACTGTATAACATGATTTGCTAACGTGTACATGGACTCT